TTAATAAATAAATATTGAAATAATCTACAATAATATTTACTTAAAATACTGATCTATCACAATAAAATTAAAATTATGTATTAAAGTATTAAACCATTTATAACAAAAATACGCATTTATCCATAAATACATTCAAATATTGATTATTTGAAGTACATTTTCGTACAGAGATAGTTTTTCCACAGCTTATTGTACGAGTATAAGCTGTGGTTTTTCTTCTTTCCTAACTAAACATCAATATATCTAAATAGTTGCCGCGTTTGAGAATCCACATCGGATGCATCTGAGATGTTGTGAATTTTTAATCACGTGATAGAGAATTATATCTGAATGTAGATATAATAAAAAAACGCTCTAGACTTTATTGGTCACGTGATAAAATGTCAATGACAAGTTAGAAGTTTATAGTTTTTAAATTTGACTTTTGAGACTACAAATCAACCTAAATTTGAAATCTAAATAAAAATTAAACAAATTAATCACTTTTATATTCATGCTAGCACAAACAAAAGTTAAATTGACAAACTTGACTTCACAGAACACTTACTTTCTGGCATGGAACGAACATCTCATTCACATCTCATTTGAAATCGAGATGTAAAAAATGTAATCTGAACAGGTACATCTGGGATAAACAAACGCAGATGTAGATGTATTAGATGTGTCCGATGTGGATAAAAACGCTCGAGATGTAAAAAATGCATCCGATGTGGATTCTTAAACGTGGCAAGTATGTATATGTATATTCATAAATACAATGCCGATGTGCTGATTCGAAAAACACCAAATGACCAAAATCAAACACACAGTTGTCAAACGTCAAAATGTAAATCCAAAGTAATATGATGAATTTTATTATGAGGATTTTTGTTAAATTTTCTTACAGCCTTCTTTTGAACGTATTTCTTATTGGCTTCAATATATACCGTTCATGGTTTTCTATTTTTTTCCCGCACTGGTTGCGTATAGAAAAGCTACTTCAATATTGCGCTAGATGGTGCCGTATTGAAGTAGAATTATTAACTTAGTGAAATGCTGCTGCAGTAAAACTCGTGTTTTGTTATTCTATTGATAAGTAGTATCCCAAATGGCTTTCGACTGAACATCACTTTAGTGTATTTTTCAGTTTTTTATTTAATTTTGATAACTATTTCCAACTCCATCCTCAAATTAACAGATATAAGAGTAACTACATACGGATCTCTTTGGACCGATTTTTATCTTTGGAAAAACTGATGCCCAAAAAATCCCTCTATAGTCTGAATATAAGGGGGGTGCAGTAAAAGTGGAAATATTATTATTTATTAATATTTATTTAAAGAAATAATCAATACACACAGAATTAGTCATGCATACTCGATAAAGACTGGGTCTTTGTATGAGTTAAATAAAAAAAAATAATTATTAAAAAATACAAGTAAAGTAAAACTAAAGATTAATTCCAGAGATATTTGTAGAAATATTGTAAAGGTGTGGGAATTCAATTAATTTATGAATAGTTTCACGAGGTATTTCAGCTATGTATTTTAAAGTGTAATTTATTTGTAATATTTAGAATATGACGTGATAGATATGAAAATAATGTAGGTCCTAGATACTCATGTAATTGCTGTCCTATAGATTTTTTTTGTTGTAACTGGTAAGTAGTTATAATTTTTATTTCTGGTATAATAATGACGTTGATTTAATCTTAGAGTATGTTTATTTTTGTGTTGTTCTAAAACACTCTAAGAAAAATAATTGCCAAGGATCTAAATATAAATAAAAGTTATCAAAAGTATCTAAAAAAGTAAAAAAAAATCACATGATACAAAACTATTAATCGGTAAATATAACAAAGTGTTATGAAAAATGTTAATAATAATTTTTTTAAACTTAAATTTTGCAAACGAATGCGCCACTATGCCCTGCACTATTTGACAGATTATAAGATAATTTAGCCCCAGGCTACTATTCCATATGTAATATGAGATTCAACAAGCGCATAAGGTAACATATTTTTTTCAGGAGGTATTCAATATGTTTGTCCCACCTAAGGTGACTATCCAGAACTACCCTTAGATATTTGAATTTATATGCTTTTTTTATTTGAAAGTCATCGGTAACAGCAAAATTACTGTATATAACGTCACATTCCATAAGCATACTGTGTAAAAGCAGTTTCTATAATACACTTGCGTGCGTAGACATCGGCCCACTGTAAACTTTTGACTTTAATTATATATTTTTTTAAAATTATTTATTAAATCAAAAAAAAAATATATCCTGTTTGAAAGACAATTTATTATACTTTAATGTTGTCTAATAATAAATTAATAACAGTAATGTTGTTTAATAATTAAAAAAAAAATATAGTTAAAGTCAAAAGTTTACAGTGGGCCGATTTCTATGCACGCAGTATATAAATAAGAACACGGCCTATAAAATGGTATATACGCACTTGGTAGATTAAATTTTGAATGAAAAAAGATATATTATTAACAAAAATTAAAAATTAAACTTTATGCTTCTGAAAATTGTTGCACTTTAACATCAAACGAATTAAATTTAACCAATAATTAACGATGATTATGGTCCATTTACACGGCTCCTCTTTAACCCTTTCAGTTTCACTTTCATTAAAAAAGATCACTGAAGTAGATTTGTCTCTCTCCAGGGACACCATTTTTCACTGCAATAAATGGATGAATTTTGACATCTTATGTTAGCAATTTAAAAAATATGCAAATAAAGTAAATAAAGCAAAAAAATTAATTTTTATTACCAAAATTAACAGATGCATACTTCAGGGTTACTTAAGATAGTGTCCCTCTGGAGGAACAAATATACTGAAAGGGTTAAGAAATAAGCGAAGCTTAATTTAACATTTTTTATTAATAATGCCACTTTAAGCTCCGCTTAGTTCTTAACGACTAGCGGTGCAAATGAAAATAGATCCGTGGTAACGGATGTTGCCAAGGAAGTGAATTTAACTTTCATCAAGGCTGCCACTTAATGAAGGTTATCCGATAGTTGACAAGACAAGTGTGTAAAGTTCTAAGGTATGAATGTATGTAGTGCAATCGAGGCACTACAATACTTTCCCCCTTTTTTGAAGTGTATGTTAGAGGTTTTTATTTTGGTTATAATTTTAAGATTTTGTATTTGAATAGTTCTGTGTTGTTTATTATGAATATGATTTGTGTTTGATTAGTATTGGTTTTGTTGGTACCCATTAGTAATTGCTAGGTATCCAATAGGTTCTTTCTACTTGAAGAATATTACCGTTGATACCATTTTAGCAATTACTCTTGTTTTCTATCAGGTCACATTGTTCTAGGTAGAAAAGCCATGGCAATTGGTCTATATTGTGTGAATACTTAAGTCCTTTAGCACGTGCCCGATTTGGTCTTTATTATGTGGATATTTGGTTCCATTCGCACATATATGCAGTGTAAAATGCTAGTTGCATGTGTTTTGTATTATGTTTTTTGTATGTTAAAAATGTTTTTTGTTAATGTTTGTTTTTATATGGTTGTGTGTTATGAATTTTATAAAGAAATCGTTCGAAAGAATGATTTTTATTTTCGAAAAAGTATATGAAGTTAAATTTAGAGTGTGGCAGCCAGTAGAAAGATTAAACTCACCCCTGTATATTGCATAAGGCTGGTCTTTGCCACCGCTGCTTTTGCTGCTGCTATTGCCATTGCTCTTGCAGTTCCTTAGTGGTTTCTATGGTTGGTTTTACTGCTATCAACGTTGCTGCTGCAGCTCCGTAGTGGTTTCTATGACTGCTTACATCGGAAGTGCGTTTCTGTTGGGGTCACCAATATGGGAACTTTTAATTATGTAGATCCCATCATAAATTATTTGTAGATAATTGTAAAATTATTTATTGTAGATAAAAATGGATGACATGTCATGTATATTAAAAATATAAAAAATCATAATAATAAATTAAAATAGATCCGTGGTAACGGATGTTGCCAAGGAAGTGAATTTAACTTTCAAGGCTGCCACTTAATGAAGGTTATCCGATAGTTGACAAGACAAGTGTGTAAAGTTCTAAGGTACGAATGTATGTAGTGCAATCGAGGCACTACAAGTATAATTAGAAGTTTGTGTAATTTTTATTGCACAAATTCACTTGATCAATATCGCTCTTTAACGTCCATTATTACAGAACTAACAATTCTGCGTGTTACAATGACAGGACTATACAAATGTAAATCTTAACTAAAATAATTTACAATCTGCATAACACTTTCTGCCGATTAAAAATTTTAATCATTTCTAAGAAAGTTGAGGGCTACTTAAATTGATCTTGAATTTTAAATATTTTCTACCTGTGGATATTACATACTTACCTTATTTTTGTTAATTAAAATGACTAGAAAATTTAAGACAAGAATGGTAATAAATTGGTATTTTTAAAAATTTTAGGAAGAAAACCAAAGATTTTATATTGGAACAAATAATGCTAAACATTTTATTTTAGAAATTTATAATGTTATATTGGGGTTTATCTCCTGGGTCATAAAAATTTGCAATTATTCATTTTCAAATAAACGCCAAGTTGGCTCAAATTGTAATACTTTGAAGTGCAAAATACACTTTACTTCGATGAACAATTACTTAGGGACCATCCTGTATATTTGTATGTATATTTCTGTACTTTGCTATATTTTGTATTTCAATATTTTTGTATATCTATCTATTTGTATTTCTATATTTTTATATTTCTATATTTTTGTATTTCTAAATTCTTTATTTTTTTATATTATTCTAGATATATAATTTAAGTGATATTTAAAACTTTTTGAAATAAAAAAAAAATATATTGTTTAGGCAGGTCTTAAATATTGTAAAAAAATGTAAACTGTATAAACTAATGCATTTTAATTGATTTGATTTAAAGTAAGTCAAAAATGAATATCTGGAAACTGTATTTTTAAAAATAAAATATTTTGTAGTTTTCAACTATCTATCTAAATTACTCGCTTCCCTTTTTTTATACTTACAATAGCGACGCATTTCTCCCATTTCCCCACATTTTCGAAAACGTAATCACTCAAAGATATTCTCGGTATCTCGATATCTTGTAAGCCGGAAGCGAGTATCCCGTTTTTACAGTCAGTGGCGTAACCGTTTCGATATGTGCTCGAGATAGGCGCGAACAGCCGTTTGTTGCATTCCTTGACGACGATTTTCCTTATCAACGACATTTAAATATGTATATTTATTTTTTTTAATTAGATTTAGATGCCGACTACCTGACTGAATGTTTCTATACACCGGGAGCAACTTTTACCGACAACCGGTGCTTGTGTGCCTAGCCGTCTAGATGAAAACGTTTTTAGTGATCGGAGAATCGGAGTCGAGAGATGGGATTGGTTTACTAAATATAACGACGTTATTTTTGTTTTTGAACCGATTCGATCATATCAAATTTTATATTTTATAATTCCATCTGCATCGAATGTAGTTGCGAAATATAAACATACATATTCGTTTAAATATACAGGGCCATCGGTAAAACCATAGAATTATCGAAGGAAACTTCCAACAGGAAATTAATAAAATCTACGAGTGAACAAAAATATGGCGGATTAAGTATAACGAAATTTAAACAGTTCAGGTTAAATGTTAACTTCTAATTCAGCAAATTACTGTGAATCTAAACATCTAAATAAATTAATCAAAGGCAACAAATATTTAAAATAAATTATAAAAATTTAACAACTTTTCTTTGTAACAACGCCTAGGTTTAAGAAAACCTGTATGAGCCTATTTTTATTCCTACCTATATATGTATTATATTATTTGTTTGTTTTATACCTTTTAGCTATACCAACAAAAATAGAAACTAAAACTAAAATTATTACAATATATTATCACAAATATTACAATTATCACAAATATCCACAATAAGAGATAAGAAGAAAGTAACAGAATAAACAAAAATCAAAATAGGCACAAAAAATTTTCACGATTTTTCCAACAATATCTTTTAAAAAAAACATTAAACTTTTTGTACTTTTTAACATATATACATAACATACGAGGTAAGCGCCAATAATTCCCGGTCTGACAATGAAGGAGGCAAAGTACAACAACAAGTTTTTATTATTTTTCAATGTAATTTCCCTTAACCTCAATGCACTTCTTACAACGTTTAATTAACAAATCAATCCCTTTAAAAAATATTCTTTCGGTTTATCCTCAAAATAGGCCAAAACAGCTTCTTGTAACTCAAAATCGTCCCGAAATCGTCGCCGAAGGTCCTTTTTCAAATAACTAAACAAATAATAACACCGGCACACACAAAAAAAAAAGTTGTTTGTACATCAGACACGACCTACCTACCGGCATGTATTTTGACCCGCTGAATCCGAATTTCAAGTCAGTTTGGGCCGTCCACCCTTCAATATCCACCCTTGCAATATCTCTAAAAACTGGTGTATGAACTGAATGAGGCGAAAGATTTTCTCAGATTTTCAACTGTTTTTTGTTGGTATCAAACTTTTTTGTTGTCAAAAGACCTCCGCAGTATTCAGCAGATCGAAATACATAAGAATTATGCTTGGTTTCGATTAATAATTTTTTTTTATTACTAATTATCTTATTTTTACTATTTTTACAATTTACTCGATATTGAAGGGTGGACGGTCCAAACTGACTTGAAATTCGGATTCAGCGGGTCAAAATACATGCAAGTAAGTAGGTCGTGTCTGATGTACAAACAACTTTTTTTTGTGTGCCGGTGTAATCGCTGGGAGCCATATCTGGACTATAAGGAGGGTGATCTATATTTTGAAACCCGCAATCTAGGATAGCAGCTTGTGTAACGCCAGCAGTATGAACGGGCGCATTGTCGTGCAATAACCGCACGCCTCTGGTTAATTTTCCTTGACGTTTTTCCCGAATACATTCCCGCAACTTATAAAGTAATACGGCATAATATGTGCCATTAACGGTGGTATTTGTGTCTTTAAAATCAATCAGAAGGATTCCTTCACAATACCAAAAGATCGTAGCCATCACCTTTTTCGTTGATTGGCCGAATCTAAATTTTCATGGGGGGGCTTCACCCTTACGGCGCCACTCCATTGATCCCCTTTTCGAGAGAGGATCATAATAAAGAACCATAGTTTCATCTCCAGTGACTATTGTTTCCAACACGGGGTTCGGATCATCTCCACACAGTTCCAAAAACGATTGAGCACACTCGACACGACGTTGCTTCTGAATCGCCGAAAGGTGTTTGGGCACCCATCTTGCACTAACCTTATGCATACCCAAATGATCATGGAGGATTCGGCGAACAGTGGTATCAGAAAGATTGGTCATTTCTGCCATTTCCTTGACCTTTAAACGTCGGTCACTTAGCACCAGGTTTTCCACAAGGGCCACTTTGTCCTCCGTTATCACCTCCACTGGCCGTCCAGGTCTTTCGTCATCTTCAAGGGATTCCTGACCCATGCGAAAACGTTTTGCCCATTCCTTCACTACCGAATAGGAAGGGGAACTTTGGCCATATACGCCATCGAGTCTTTCTTTAATAATTTTAGGTGTAAGCTCTTCTTTTGTTAAAAATTTAATAACCCCTCTGTACTCAATTTACCTGTGACATTTTCGGAGATACTTTAGTTCAAAATGCTGACAATTAAAAACTATTTGACGTAAGTCGCTTATTTTGTTACCACAGCCTACTAAGGTTTGTAGTTATAAAATGTTAAACTTTTATCCTGATAAAATATCTGCAACTATGTCAGGCCGGGAATTATTGGCGCTTACCTCGTATATACAGATATGTTATAAAATGCAAGTTTAAATCACATCTTAGACTGAGAGATGCTCAGCTCATGAGCACCGTTTGCCCGGGTCATAAAGTTATGGGACACACAATTCGATTGTAGTTTTTTATTTGTATGCACAAAACCACACACTGCAAGAACATATAGTACTTTTATATTGTTAGTTTCTAAATAATAAAGTTGGTTAGTAGAATATAATCTAGTTTTTTTAGAATGATCCTTACAATGTAGTTCTGCACTACTTTCAGTTGAGTAAGATTTGAGCTGTACATCCCACCCCATACAACTATGCCATATCTTAAAAGGGGCTCAACAAGTGCCTTGTATATCATCAGTATTATCTTCTTCGTCATAAAGTTGCGCAAAATATAAAATTTATGAATAAAAAATCTAATTTTTTTGTATAAGTAAAGCACATGTTGATCCCATTTCAGGTGTTTATCCAGAACAACCCCCAAATATTTAATATGAGATACTTCTTTCAAAGGCTGTTCTACGTTGTCAAGCCTAATTTGATCAAAAACTGGTCTATTAGCTATTGTTATAGAAAAGGCAATGTAATTTTGTATATTTAAAGTTGATTTAAATATCTCTAGATAGTTCTTAATATTGGCAAAACCAGTCTTTAATTTTTCACCTACCATTTCCCATGTCCTCGCATGAAATACCACCGCAGTGTCATCAGCATATGCAATTATCTTACCATCACTTCAAGGCTGCAAAGGTTATTAACATAAATATTAAAAAAGAACTGGGCCAAGTACTGTACCCTGTGGTACTCCATGTCGAACCGTCTTTGGTTCGCTTAAAGCCTCTGCAATCCTGACATGTTGAGTTCTATGCATCAGATAATCCGCAAAAACTTTCAACACAGCACCCCTAACCCCATGTCCCTCCAAGTAGTCTAACCTTAAGACATTTTTCAAATATCTTTGCTAAATTTGAGATAATACTTAATAGTCTATAGTTATCTATATCCTCTTTATCTCCAGCTTTATGAATTGGGGTTACTACGCAGGTTTTAAACTGTGTGGGTACTTTTCCTGGTTTAAAAATCTAATTATATGAACTAAGGGATTTAATAGATGGATATGTAGCTGTTTGATAATTTTAGTAGTAAATTTATCTAACCCCGGAGAGCAACAATTTTTCAAACTCATTATATGTTCAATAATGTCATTACGGTTTGTCGGTTTTAAGTACATTGAATAAAGAGGACTATTTACAAATTGAAACGATCTGGAGGTACTCTTAATTTTTCCGGATATTTATCTGCCTATATTAATAAAATAGTTATTTGCAAAATTAGCAATTTTATTATAACAGAACTTTTTGTTAGATTTTCGTTTGTTGCCTCTTTAACCAAATTATATTTTTTTTTTAATATCATGCGAGTTCTGATTTAATTTGTCTTTGTAATAATCATTTTTTGCAGATTTAATTATTTTATTAAGGCGATTTCTATATTCTCTATATTCCAAAACATTTGCTGGAGATGGGTTGACCCTAGCCTATCTCGATTCTTAATAGATGTTATTATTGCATTTGTTTTCCATGGTTTAAGCTTGTTATAACTATTTAGGGTGTTCTTTTTTAAATTCAGACTTCTCTATAATTACATTTAACTTTCCTAAAAGATAATTTGTTGCTTCTTCTGCTTAATCAAATCTTAAAATGTAGGACCAATCCACCTCAGATGCGAGATAATTTAGTTTATTCATGTTAATACATTTAAAAACATGTTGGCTATTTGATGATGTGGAATTTAGAGTAAAATAATCTGAAATGTGAAGCATAAGAGGCAGATGGTCAGTTATGCCGTGTTCACCAGAAACAATATCACTGAAGGAACATGCTCATCTATACAGATAGCAGACAAGCACTACTCACCCTGAACAGACCACGAATTTACTGAGGGTTAGTACTAGAATGTCACGAAGCTTTGGCCAAAGTAACCATCAACAATGTGGCCACCTTAAGAGTCACGCCACATCGAAATGTTACCGTCTTGCTGATTCGCTGGCTACGAAATCAGCCAACCAAATACTTTTTGGACCTGGTACTTCTATTGGCTTGAGAAAATTGGTAGTGAAAGACCTAATTAAAGAACATTCCCTTGTGAAATTCAAGGAAATATGAAATGAAACAAGAAATTGCTGAGTTGCCAGGGAACTTTTAAGTTTTCCTGACAACACTACAGCAAACAAATACTTGACTATGGCTAGACAAAATCTGCGTTTGATCACAGGTAATCTAACTGTTCATTGCCAAGTACGGAGCCATTTGCATATCATGGGGTTGTCAAAATCCGCACTCTGCAGGGGGTACGAACAAGAAGATGAGATCATAGAGTATATCCTCTACGATTGCCCATTAGAAGATTCGACGAGTATCGGTTAACACCAGCCGATATAAGAGAAGCACCTCTTGGCGACATTGTCAAATACATTAAATATGTAGGCTGGCTCACAAGCAAGGATATACTTATCATCTTAGAGATGCCGTGGGATAACCCACCATCCACACGTTACAGATGCAGAGAGTACTTCACAATGAGTAGATTTAGAAAGTGCTTATAAGTATCTGAGTGTGAGTA